TGGGTAGTCTTTCACTAACAACAAATAATCCTAGAAAACTCGCATCAATTTTTTCTTTTTTTTTTTTCCTAGCCTTTTTGAGACAAGGTTTTAATATGTAGTCCTGGCTGTCCTGGAACTCACTCTGTATACCAGGATGAACCGAACTCAAAGAGATCAACTTGCCTCTGATGCCTGAGTGCTGAAATTAAAGACATGTGCCAACACCATCCAGCCCAACAATGTCTTTATCACTCTTCATCATTGTGTCATTCTCGATCCTATAAACTTGTCCATAAGATCTAGTGGTAGGATTCGCAATGGGTTCATGGTGGTATTGGTCAACTTGGTCACATCGGAAGTCTGATTTACTTTAACCAGTGAGCAGTGCTTCCTTCAAGATGTGACTCTCGTAATTGGTTTGGGCAGTGTATAAACTGCTGAAAGAGACCAGACCTCTGAATCCTTGTCTCCTCCCTCTTTCAGCCTGCATTTAGCTGTACCACATGCCAGACTGCAGTGGAACAGTCTGTGCCTCTCAAGATGGACAGTGCTCAAACCAGCGGAACCCCTGATAAGGACAAGGTCAGACAGTACATAAAACCATTAACTAGCAGAGTGAGCCTGGAGTCACTTCTGCTGCTCTCACACTAGGTGGCGCTATGAACCGAGGTTTACATCAATTCAGGGGCACAGAGCCGAAGGATGAAGAGTTTGGTGAGAGAGCAGGTGGGGCCAGTTCAAGAAAACGGGGTTCCTGCGAATGTCTGTGGTCTTCCATTGTTCCATGAGTTATCTCTAATAGATTCATTTCTATTCTTTAAGATGAGCTTAATGAATCATTTTTTGTGCTGTGGAAAGGTAAGAAGTTAGGGGTAGATGCTAATTTTACATCTCCCCAGAAAAGTCAAACAACAGTTGATCAACACATATTTGAGCACTTGAAAATGAGAGTACACACTATTTACAGATACAGGCTAAATATAAAAATGTATATTATCAAGTCCTACTTAAAACATATTATTAGATTATTTAAACCCATGATCTTTAAATTTATTTATTGTTCTATTTTGGTCTCAAGTCTACACAGTCAAAGAAATGTTAGAAATGATTTTATAAGTCCATGGAGTGTGTGTGTGATTTTCAGACTTTTGGAACCAAACCTCAAAAGAGACTAAGATTATAAATCAAATCATGATATTTTGTGGTAAATTAATTACCTTTCCTGGCATTGTTTTTATCCCATAATTATACAATTTAAATTATTTTAGTGTTTTCTTGAATAGCTTATCAAATACAGCTAGCTTAAAACATACAGGCCTTAACAATCACGACAAAAGACCATGTGCTGTTGGCCAAGAGCTCCCATTCTCTCTGCAGGACAACATGACAGAAAGAAAACCATGTGGTGTTGGGTGTTAACAAGAGTCAGCAGGAGAATAAAGGAGAGTAACTCTGGAAGGGCAGCAGAAAGCAGGTAACAAACTTCTGACAAGTGGGAAATCATTCCAAGACAATGGTGAAGCCAGTGCAAAGGTCCTGAGGTGAGCACGTTCCTGGTGTGTTCAAGGAATAGGAAGGTAGAGCAGCAAACCCATGGCAGAGGAAGTGAGAAGCTTGAAGTAGAAATTATCACCAGAAAGTGGGCAGGGCAGGGAAGAGCGGGTCGTGTAGAGCCCTGTGAAAAACTGGAAGGAATCTCTTTGTCGTTTAGAGCAAGACAGGCAGGACTGAAAGATATAAATGGGGAAGATATGTAAACTGATTCACTATTAGATGTGTGACTCTGGCTTCAAGACTGAGAACAGACAAAAGTACCAGCAGGGAGAGGTAGGATGCTGGGGAGAGAGCCAGGAGACTGGCTGGACCAGCACACTCCTTGGCCACAGTGAGTCAGATAACAGAAGTGTTGATAAGATGGTGCTGGGGAATGGAGAGATGGCTCAGTGGATAAAGCACGGACTATTCAAGCTTGAGGACGTGTGCTCTGATCCCCAGCATCCTCACACATGCCTGCTGGGCATGGTTACAGGCTTGTAATCCCAGGTTTCAGAAAGGCAAAACAGAAAGTGCTCTGGGTTAGCTGCCTAGCTGGACTATCCAAATCCCTAAGCTTTCAGGTCACACAAATGAGTCCACTTGCATATGAACATGCACACACACCACACACCTACAGAGAAAGAATACAGTTTTGGTGAGAATCAAATCCTGCATCTGATGTTTAGGGGACATCAGGAGAAAGCAACAACAACAACAACAGCAACAATAGACAGGGTTTGTGGCCTAAGATACATTTACTGAAACGAACAGCCTGTGACTGGGAAGGCTATATAAGGAGAAAATCACAGAGATCCAGAGCACAAATCTGGGGTGAATCCAGGAGCTATAGCTGACCTGGGACCTCTTGACAAACCTGTGATTCCACATTAATGGAGGACTGAACCAAGCTCAGACATGAGTCCTGTGGTCAGGCAGGCAGGGCTTCTGCAAACCCGGAAGAAGCTCTCAGCCTGACTCCTCCAGCCCAGGCATCTGCAGTGACTTAACAGGAAACAACCTGAATAATGTTCAACTTCCACTCCCAGTGTTTAGAGGAAGTACATCTGTGGCTCTCTGACACCTGCCTTCCTGAAAATGGGACAGAGTCTCTTTCACTTTTGAAGAACAGTTTCCGAGCTGAGGAACCTTATTCAAGGACACACACTCCAGTGGGCCTCATAGAGAAGCAGGGTGAGTAGTGGAACCCAGATTCCACCAGAACACTTACTTGTGGGAGGATAAGGGCTGGCCTCATTCCACTAAAACATACTGTGGCAGACATGGGGACCTCGTCCTGAAAACCAGGGCCCAGGGCCCCAGCCTATGCTTGGAGAATCTGCAAGCCAGCTCTGATGGGTGATAGACTGCTGGATTCACCTGTCTGGTTCATGTGCCTGCTCCTGTCATAGCCTATCCTGCACCCTCCTGTCTGCTCTGAATTTGCAGGGATAAGTGTTCTGAATGATGAGATATTCAGGGACAAGATATATGTTTTAAGTGTCATATATGCAATTTACAGGGGGTTGTGTGGGAGGGCCAAGGTCCTCAGAGAGCTAAGTTAGACAAAGCTAGTGAAGAAAGCACAGGACACCTCAACACAGTTGCCTTAGGATTGATAACCACAGTGAACATGGGGAAGAATGAATTCCCAGATATTATTATCTTGACTCCTCTGAGGCACAGGTGTCAGTGTTAGACCAGCCTTGTCCAGTCCACTCCTGGACAAGGACATAGAACTAATGTTTCTTTTGTCCTTTCATCAGGACCTCTAAGAAGTCTTGTGTTCGTCTGTCCCCTGCATACATGCGGCCCTTTGGCTTTCTCTGGGTAATGTGTCTTCCATCAAATTGTTAGTTGGTTCCATATTGTTCCCCCTGTGTGGTACCCAGGGACAGAAGACTTCTAAAGATTCTTTCAAACCATCTAGCCTGAACTTAGACTGAGCCTTTACTCTCCCTCTGTCCTGTATATTCCTACCTTATCCTGAGTCACAGTAATGGCTGACGTATTGATCTCCTTAGAGTGGGACATTAGAAAAGGAAGAAGATGAGGACATGGGATAGTGAATGTCCTGCATGGTCCCTAATGCATCCTCGATCCTGGTGTTTCTATCCTCCTATCATCCTACCCTTGGTGCCCCAGAACCCCCCAACCCCTCATCCCTTGATTTGCATCCTCTAATTCTCCCAAACATCATGCTCTGACCTGCATCCCTCCCTCCTCTTACTTCGACATTTCCCCACTCTCACTCTCTAGATCCCCACCTTCCCACTCCTCCCTCTCTATCATGTTCTTTGCCTAGTCTGAGCCAAGTCTTCCCTGCTGTGGTTCTCCAAAGTTAAAGAGAGCTAGATCTCCTGCATACTGCTACTGTGGAGGCTAGTGCCTTACTTCAGGAACAATACTGCTATGCACCAACAAACCCAACAAACCCAAAGGGTTAACAGTACCCAAAAATTTAATGAAGGACCAGACCCCCAAAAAAATCTAGTGGATAATGTCTTCCTAAGAATGGGCTTTCAGTTTGCTCTGACTGGGCTCCTTCCCTTGATATCACCATTTCTCCTTATCCTCATACATCATTTTAACCTGTCTTTTAAAAGTTATACACAAGGTCCTCCTGGATCAAATCACTGCGATACTCAGTCCACATTAGGACAATGGCTGACCTGGCTGGGGGTCTACTGGGTCCCCTATCCTCCAACTCATTATACAGTTCACAGCCCCCTGTCTAATGCCTGTTTCAAAGGTTTCTTCAGAAGGAAATGGCAGCAATCACATGACTGAACCAGCAGAGCAGATCAAGTTAAAAATCTCTTTACAGCACATGAAATCCACCCACAACATAGACACCCTTTAACCCCTAGGTACAGGACCGAGGCCCACCTCCATCATCATCCTCCCACAGAAAACAATCAGTGAGAGAAAACACCCCTGATTCTTTTCATGTGTCCTTAGGTGAGATAAATAATCTTAATGACCTAATTAAGAACCTTAGACAAGCTAAGAAACCCCAACTCAGTATAAAGTTAAGCACACCTGCCTTCACGAAGTCCAACACGGTAACTAGAAAATGCACAAGAATCATTCAGTTGTGAAACATTAAGGAACATGTCCATGATTAAACACTCCTGTCCCAGAGTTCCCTCTTCTGCCCTATGAAGCCCAAGCCCCTGTACCTGGACACACAGTAGCCACTCCTCAGGAGAGGCTTTTGTCTTTCAATTGTTCTGATCAAGGCCCATCTGACCCTGTAGAGGTTTGTTTGCTTTCTTTTATTACCAGGTCTCCTCTATCAGTATTAAATACGCATTCTCAGAAACAAACATCTGGCAGAGACAAGAAGCAACTGGTCTCTTGCTTGGACAACAGAAGAGAGTCTTGAAGGAATAAAAGCACAAACTGCTCAGAGAAGCAGTATCTGAGAGCTCTATCACCATGGGAAAATGTCTGTCCAAGCAGAAAAGTGACAAAAAGATGACTTGCTATGAAGATGAAGAAGTCATATACACCACCATTTTTACAGCACATGCTTCATCGAAGTGGATGAATCGCAGACCCAAGCCAAAAAGGGACTCTTTGCTAGGTAAGTACACCAAGAACCCCAACATATCACTCCATGACCCCTTCATCACCACTGAGTCCTCCTGCCAAGGTTTCCATGGGCAGGCTAGCCTCATGTCAAGAGTTCACAGGCCCAGGAGAGGCTGGAACAGGAAGGCTTTCAGAAACCCATAACTGAACTCTAGAGAACACTTTGTTCTACAGAAGTGCATGCTCAGGTTCCCATGTGGTGCTCAAAGCCTCCTGGAAGGAGCATCCTGAAGCTGTAGTGGGGAGAGTCAGGCATGCAGAGGTCTCTGAGAAGGTTAGCATAGGGGTCAATCCAGCTCTTGAAAAGAACAATTAGTGACAAGATGTTACAAGCCCACATATTGGAGCTGGCAGAGGCACACTCTACCTATCTTCAATGCATCCATCTGGGAAATGGGAAGATGAAGAGCTGTCTCCTTAGGCTGTAGCAGTTGAATGATAATCTGTGTCAAATATTAAACAGTCTGATATTCGACAAATGCTCGATAATTTTAAGTACAAGCCCATGCTATTGCTGCTGTTATTATAGTTTGTCACCCTGTGAGACAGAAGCTCAGAGACACACACTGGGGAGCTTAGGCATAGACATTCACACAGAGGACCAGATTAGACCCAAGAGAGGTATATTACCTTCATGGTCCCAGAGCAGAACTGTTTCCTAGCAGCACATGTGAATGCCCCATGTGACCATGAGGGCAAGCATAAAGGGCCCCAGCAGTTCTCGCTGCCTCCTTCCTACCCCTGCCTCTCTGACCAACACACAACCACTGTCTCCTTCCCGTAGGACATTCTTCCTCATTACTCAGACCCATGAAAGAAAGAAAGAAAGAAAGAAAGAAAGAAAGAAAGAAAGAAAGAAAGAAAGAAAGAAAGAAAGAAAGAGGGAGGGAGGAAGGGAGGGAAAGAAGGGAGGGAGGGGAGAAGGAAGGAAGGAAGGAAGGAAGGAAGGAAGGAAGGAAGGAAGGAAGGAAGGAAGGAAGGAAGGAAGGGAGGAAGGGGAAGAGAGAGAGAGAGAGAGAGAGAGAGAGAGAGAGAAGCAAGAAAAAGAAAAAAAAGAAAAACCCTCAACACACAGTTCCCTACACTACACAGCTCCTTGAAACTACCGAGCTCAGACCATGATCTTAAAGGTCAAATTGATTGAAATCTAACAAGTCTAGACACAGAAGAAAAGATTAACTAGCCTGAGAACTGTGGGTGGGACTCCACACAGATGTGGCTCTTCCCACGTGAGCCTGCCCCTGTATTGGGAAGAGGGACAAGGAACTCAAATGCAAGGACACAGCAGCATGCCTCCAGGCTCTGCAGTGCTGAGGCTGCATTTACAGGTGGGGGTACTGGAATCCATGAGGGACAGAAGAGAGCCTAGCCCAACTGGCATCCAGAGCTCTGCTCAGAATCTGAGTGGGCACTGAAGATCCTGGGGGTCAGGAAGGTCCTGAATCTCCAAGAAGGTCTTATCTATTGAGATTGACCTGAGGAAAGGATATGCTCCTGCCTCAGCTTCACCCAGTTTCTTCTACTGAATTCCCTTAATTCATTGCCACTTACACAAACCATACCCTGGCCTCCTCCTCTACTTGAGGATCAATGTAGCCATCTCTCTCCAGGGCACAAAGTTGAGAGAGATTAACTTGTTCAAGCTCACAGCACACAGACACAGACATGGGGCTGGAATCTAGTACAATCAGTGCCTAAGGAGTGACTTTCTTCTTCCTCCATCTGTTGCAGCTCTGTGAAAGTCCTGCCTACACCCAATCCTTATCTTTATTTCAAAGTCCATTCTTCCCAACCCACCTTGAGCTAAAGAAACCTCAGTTGGCAGCCAGCCTGAGCTACACAGTGAGATCTATTAAAGTTATTACCCAGGAGTACTAGTGGCTTATCATGTTATTGTGACAGAAGCAGTTTATACAGGAAAGGCTCACAGATTAAGAATGGTCCATTGGGGCACAAAGGCCAGAGAATCAATGATTGAACACAACTGGTCATGAGTGTTTAGTTGGGAAACAGAGAGATGAATGCTGCTGTTCAGATCAATTGTCTTTTTCATTCAGTTCAGAATTCTAGCACTAGGAATAGTGACAGCAACAATTAGGGTAGACCTACCTCAGTTAACCTAACCTATCCCTCACAAACCTACTTAGGGACATTTGTGCTGGATGCTTCTAGACGCTGTGACATTGACAATGCTAGGCCTCACACCATCTCATTGAATCATTGTAAGAGTTCAAAATGTGTCAGAAGCCCTGTGGATGTGCTTCCTTCCTGTCCTTTCTCACTGGGAGAGCCTATGCACTTCTTCACCAAGCTTTTCAGCCTCAACCAGGCCATGAGTTTCCAGGATGACTGACCCAATCTTCCAACATCAGAGGGGGTGATGGCTCTTTTATTTTGTAGCATTCAGTAACCTCTCTATGCTCTGTGTATTTAGTGTTGTAACTCTCTGTCATGGGAAGTTACCTTTCTGGTCCTTTCTATTTGGTATTCAGTGTGCTTCTTATATCTATATGAGTGAGTTGGTCTTTCTTGATTCATATGATCTTATCGAAGATCTGGTATGTGCATTGACCTGGAAGTCCCCTCCCCCCATTCACTTTTGCCTATCAATAGAAGATTTATCATTACCGGGTATCCCCACATTTCCTAATCGTTCCTCTTGAGTTTTTCCAATTTATTTTACTTATGTGGTCTAATTCCTATGCTTTATTTTCTATCCTCTACTTGTTGCACCCTACTTATAAGGCTTTCTTTGAATTTTGTAACTGTGTTGTTGAATTTTTCAATTTGATCTTCATTTTAGTTGAGTTTCCTTTGATATTTATATCTCATTTGAATTCAGTTTTCAAATCAAAGTTTTTAAATCATTGTTATTTTATTTGGCATTGTATTCTTTTTCTCTTGCATGTAACACGGGCATCTATTCTCCCTGAGTTCATTCTCTTCAAGTTCATTAAGCTTTTTGTCTCTGACTTCTAAAACTCCCTAACAATCTAACATCTATGATTGCCACTAAGTTCAGTGTCCTGGTTCACCTTCGTAATTCTCACTGGAGAATGTTTCTATGGACTGGTGGATTGGGAAACAGCAAATGTTGTCTTTTCTTCTTGTTGTTGCAATGAGACCATGGGTTTTGTTCTGTTGTTGTTGTTGTTGTATGTCTGATATGGACATACCAAGTTGTACTGACACATGGGATGTATTACCCAGCCTGGATCTGGAGTTAAGAAGAGTGCAGATGGACCTCTCCAGCCTGGGCTGGAATCCTACTTGTAGGACCTGGGCTGGGTCTGGTTGTTGAAGAAGGTGCATTCAGGGCAGGGATAGGGAGACTCACCAGGCTGAGCCTGAGCACAGGGTGAGCCTGGAGGGTAGACGTGATGCTTACAGCCATGGGTTGACCAGAGTTGTCCAATGGCTGTGTCAGGAAACACACAGAGAATGTATAGTTTAAAAATTGTGTCTCTGTGCCATATGACTGGGCTAGAGTGGGGACAGTGCTATGATATAGTGAGTGCCAAAGAGAGAAGACTCAGGGGGTCTTGATCCCTCTGTAGCAGCTGCAGGACTATCAGGATTACATGCTTAAGGTATGGGGGTTGGTAATGACAGAGAGTTCAGGTAGATTATTTGTTTACATACCACCTGGATGAGATAAAGTGTAATTTGGGGAGTCCCGTGTAGAGAAGATTCAGAAGGAGATCAGGATCACTGGCAGCCACTGTGCAGTAACCACAGTGGAGAGCTGTGTCTGGTTCTGCAGATCTAAATGAATTTGTTTGAAAACTTCATATGTTATACACTGTAGCCTGATTACATCCACTCCTAACTCCCCCAGAACACCCTCCAGCACATGCCCTCCCACTCTCATGTCCTCTGCCCTTTTGTTTTGTTGATGTTATCATTGGTGTTGATTTGTCTGCTACTCACTGTTGTTTTATTTAAACCTCTCACACCAGTTAGTGCTGCCTGGCAGAATACTAACTGATCTTGTCGGCTTACACTTGTGTACCTCTTGCAAAAGCACCTCTATCTGTATTGAGTTCATGAGTACAATAGTCATGTAATGTACAGAAAAGCACATCTCACCACACTCCTTTCTGTGCTCCTGCTATTTCATTCTTTCTGCCAACTCACTTGAAGTGTTCCCAGAGCCTTGGAAAACTCGCTTAGACATCCCACTTAGCACCAAGCCATCCATAGACATTTAATCAGAATTTTGACTCTGAGTCTCTACGTTAATTGCTGAACACGACATGGAGAAGCATATTTGGACAAGGATGAGGTTAATCTGTGAGTATAAACATAATCAGAAGTCAGTTTAACAATATGTCTATTTAGCAAAACAACAGTAATAAGTCCTCTCCTAGGGCCCATGAACTCTGCACCGTGGATTTTAGAACACATTTATAGTACCAGGTATGAACTCCCTCCTGTGAAATTCAACTCTAATCAGAAATTCCTCGATAGTAATCATAGAACTTTTGGTTACCCTATAATCTTTAGGCAACTATTGCACTAGGGAGCATAACTTCCCTGGCAGGTCAGTACTGTAGCACTCAGGCTCAACACCAGGAATTAATTCCGTTCATGGCTTTTCTCTACAAGTGGACTCACATCATGTCCTAGTACTAGGAAACCTACCAGCATAGAAGAAATGGCATGACTGTTCCAACTTGATTCCTTTAATTCCTATAACAAAACTATGTGGTGTCTTCAGCAACAGAATCTAACTCTAGTTCTTTTAGACTATGAAGAACAACAGCAACAGGCTTCTTTGGGTTTGGAGTCTCTGCTTCCTCATGACCAGTAACACTTTGGCAGGTACTCCATGCTTGGCACTGGGATTTGAATTCAGTAACTCATGCCTTCTGAGGAATGTAAGCTCATTGCTCAATAGCCTACATTTATTTAGGTTATAGTTTTGATTAAGGTCAAACTAGTTTATTTCCATAGGAACTTTCATACATTTTTAATCTGGTCTAATCTGTCTCCACTCATGCCTCTCCTTTGACACACAATCCCTATGCCCCCTTCAACTTTGAACCCAATTTTCATATGAGAAGTGTTCTACTCTGCACTAATGGGACTCATCAGAATCTGTGTGTATTACCCCATCTCTGTTTTCTGTCCTGGCAGTGAAAACCAAACTCAAATGTCTGTTTTTCAGTTAACGCGCTCCACAGTTTGCCACTGTACAGTCTGCTAAGCTTCACCTCCCCTGTTGTGTTCCTGCTTCTTCTAACCAGTGCATCTGAGGATTCCTCTCTCCAGATTTTGACCAGGACACACACCTCATCTCAGCATCTTCTTTGGAAGGAACACAAGACAAGACAGGCATTAAAGAAAAAAGAGAGGGAAGGAGAGGATTCAGGAGAAGTGCACTGGGACTAGGGAAAGGTGGGAATCATGTAAATGTAAGATGTAAGTAGAAAATTCAAGAACTTTACAGAAACACTAGAAAAACAAATTAAACATGCAAATCAAAATATGTAAAGCTAGAATACATATATGACAGAAAACTTGTGGCATTTGTCTCTGGAGGCAATGAATACCTCACTAAGTAGAATATTTTCCACTTCCATCCACTTTATGTGAGATTTGATTTTAGTGGCCTTTCTTCTTCTTTCTCTTCTTTCTCTTCTTCTTCTTTCTCTTCTTCTTCTTTCTCTTCTTCTTTCTCTTCTTTCTCTTCTTCTTCTTTCTCTTCTTTCTCTTCTTCTTTCTCTTCTTCTTCTTCTTCTGCTTCTTCTTCTTCTTTGTGTGTGTATGTGTATGTGTGCGTGATATATATATACATATATACATATGTATATATATATATATAATGTTTGTTTGTTTGTTTGTTTGTTTGCATGTGTGAAGGCATACATGAGTGGAGAGTCACACTGTGCATGTACGTGTGAATACACTAAATTGATGTCAGGAGTCTTCCTCAATTGCTTTCTTACTGATGAAGGCAGAATATCCCATCATCTATACCCAGAGCTTATCAAGTAGCAAGACTGGCTAGCCATCTTACCCTGGGGAAGCCTCTGTCTCAGCTTTCTGGGCCTGAAATTACAGGGGACCACAATGCGAATTTAGCATGTAAATGAGGTCTTGGGATACAAATTCTAGCACAAATGCTTTAGCTCCAAGTTCTTTAAAGGTTGAGCCATCTTGCTTCCCCAGCATGACTTTCAAGTGTGATGGAACTTAAGAGAATTTGGGTGTTTGCATAATGACAGATACATTTCATCTGGAAGATCTTGGAGAAAGTGCTCTGGGAAGAGCTGGGCCCCCTCTTGGCACTTTGAGGAGACATGGCCTGAGCTAGGCAGACCTTGGCCACAGACATGAATGTCAATCTTGATGCGTTCAGGAGATATTAGAAGTCCTCCTTCAGAAGACAATAAGAGCAAATCTACAGTTCCTAATTTCAGAGGAAAGTTGCCACCTAAAGCCACACCCTCAAGTGCTAATTGTGTGAACTGATGCTACTACACTTGGTGCTGTCGCCAAATTTTCTTCACCATCTCATCCATGGCAGTACAAGCAGCTCCTTGTACTTTGGGCAACTGACCAGTGTTGAGGAATGAACTTGGATTCTGATCCATAGGTCATCCTCCTGTCTGTCTTGTCTGGAGTTTCTGCCAATGAAGATGCTAAGATGAGTTCTGGTCAAAATCTGGAGAGATGAATCTTCAGATGTGCTAGTTGGAGGAAGCAAGCATAGGGCAGGAGAAGTGAAACTCAGGAAAGTACACAATGGCAAACTGTGGAGCAGTTAAATTGAAAACAATTGTCTGAGTTTGGTTTCCATTGCAGGAAGAAAGCAAAGACTGGCCAAGTTTTTTAAATTATTTTATTTATATACATTCCAGTCGTTGCCCACTCCCAGTCCCCTTTCTCACAATTCCTCATCCCAGCCCTCCTTCCCCTTGCCTCCAAGAGGGTGCTGCCCCACCAGACTTCCCCCTTCCCTGGGGCCTCAAGTCTCTTGAAGATTAACAAATCTCCCAGAGGCCTGACCAGGTAGACCTCAGCTATATATGTGCCAGTGGCCTCAGACCAACCTATGTATGCTCCTGGTTGGTGGCTCAATCTCTGGGAGTTCCCTGGGGTCTGCGTTAGTTGAGACTGCTGGTCATCCTATGGCATCACCCTCCCCTTCAGCTTCCTCAATCCTTCCCCTAATTCAACCATAGCAGTCCCCAACTTCAGTCCAATGCTTGGATATAAGTATCTGTGTCTGTCTCAGTCAGCTCCTGGTAGGGCCTCTCAGAGGACATCCCTGCCAGGCTCCTGTCTGTAATCACATTAAAGCATCAGTAATAGTGTTAGGCCTTGATGCCCTACCATGAGATGAATCCCAAGTTGAGCTAGTCATTGGACCACCTTTCCTTCAGTCTTTTCTCCATTTTTGTCCCTGCAGGTTTTTAGGCAGAAATGATTCTGGGTCAGAATTTTGACTGTGGGTTAGTAACCCAGTCCTTCCACTTGAGGCCCTGTCTATCTACTGGAGGTGGACTCTTTGAGTTCCCACTCCCCAATGTTGAAAATTTTGGCTAAGGTTATCCCATTGAGTCTTAAGAGTCCCTAACTTCCAAGGTTTCTGGTACTTTCTAAAGGGTTCCCCAAACTCCCACCCCTCAAGACTGCTAATTTTCATTCATTGTCCTGGCCCTCTGGGCTTCTCTCCTGTCCTGCACCATACCTGATCCTGTTCCTCTTTCCTCTCCCACTCAGGTCCCTCACTCCCTCTCCTTCTTGTTATTACTTTATTCCTACTTCTAAGTGAGTAAAAAAAAAATTTTTTATTCTTGTTTTTGGTTGGTTGATTGAGTTACTGATAGAATGACTGACTGATTGACTGATTGACTGATTGACTGATTGATTGATTGAGAGATTGATAGCCTAGGATGGTTTCAAATTCCCCATATGGAAAAGCTGGGCCTGAGCTGATGATTCTTCTGCCTGTGTCTTCTGAGTGATAAATTATAGAGCATGTTCAGTGATTTTTTTCAAGCATGCATATTAGTTATAGTTCTAGAGGCTGTGTGTCTAAGACTGAAAACTGTCACAACTCAGCCTCAAAAAGGGCGTGCAAACACAAACAGGTACCTGCAGGAAAGAAAGAGTACCCCCTTCCCACAACAGCTTGCCTATTCCTAAAAGAAAAATATTGATCAACTATTAAGGGGCCTGTCACCATGACCCCAAATACCCACTCTAGAACTGTATCTCTTACTCCTGAGTATCCCTTACTCTTACATTAGCAACTGAGTTTCAACTTCAGTTTCAGAGTAGGCAAAAAGATCCAAACAATAGCCAGAAACAAGGCTTGTTGAATACAGTACAAAATACACCCAAGATTGCCAGGCCTGGGGACTGGGAACCAAAACTATGTCCTAAAACATGAACTCTATGGCATTCGTAGACCTTCCCGCTGACCCACAGTCTCAGAACTTCCAGATGACGTTGTCAGGACTGCAATGGTAGATCCAATAAGATCTGTCAGGAGCAGACATTTGCTTTACTGTCTGTAATCTCCCTATTACTCCACGACCTCCTACTAGGAGCGATAACAGCCACCAAATTACAAATGGGAAACCAGAGCTCAGTGGAGCTACTGCATCATCTCATAGGCTGGATGAAGACAGAGTTATGTCTGTGAACTCATGCTTTACTCCCCAGCTCTAGATCAAGTCTGGCACAGGATAAGAAGTCGATAAATGGCTGAAGCATGAATGAAAGTCAGACAGCATTATTATTAGTCACATGACCACTTGAAGTAGTCACATGACCACTTGAAGTAGAATTTTCTACTCTAAATTCATATTTTCTGCACTACACTGTTCATAATATTCCAATGCCCACAACTTAAACAAACACCTAAATGCATCCAGGTGATAAAGAATCAAAAAAAGAAAGGAAAGAATATATGGGTTAAGGAAAGTAGGAGTGAAGGAAAGAGGACAGAAAAGAAGGAAGGATTGATTGAAGAACACATAACACTAATGTATACACTGCTACTCAAACTTTCTCTTCTTTTAGAAACATTTCAAGAAGTACGAATGAATCAAGAAGAAGTGACACTTTACTCTACACAGTCATTGAAAGGGGAGAATTTGTTCCAAAATTCCACAAACCTACTACTCTTCCAAAAATTATGCCCAAGAAGCTCAGAGAATTCGGTCAAAAAAAGCTGGCATTCATGTGTACCAGAAGAAGAAGGACATATAATTGACATCCAAGACTTATTTGATCCAAACTTAGATACCCAGAAAAAGCCTCAGTTGGTCATAATAGAGGGGGCTGCTGGGATTGGGAAATCAATGCTGGCCAGGCAGGTGAGGAAATCCTGGAAGGAAGGTCAGCTCTACAGGGATCGCTTCCAGCATGTCTTCTTCTTTAGCTGCAGAGAGCTGGCCCAGTACAAGCAGCTGAGTCTGACTGAGCTCATAGAAGAAGGCCAGGAAGTGCCCACAGCTCCCATCAGTCAGATACTGTCTCACCCTGAGAAGCTGCTCTTCATCCTGGATGGCATAGATGAGCCAGCATGGGTCTTAGAGGAGAAGAATCCTGAGCTACGTCTTCACTGGAGTCAAATACAGCCTGTGAACACTCTGCTGGGAAGTTTACTAGGGAATTCCATCCTTCCTGAGGCTTCCTTCCTGCTCACAGCTCGGACCACAGCTCTGCAGAAGATCCTTCCTTCCTTGAAGCAGCCATGTTGGGTGGAAGTCCTAGGATTCACTGAGTGTGAACGGAAAAATTATTTCTACAAATATTTTGCAAATGTAATAGATGCAGCTATTGCTTTTAGGTTTGTTAAATCTAACCCAGTGCTCTTGACCCTGTGTGAGGTTCCCTGGGTGTGCTGGCTGGTCTGCACTTGCCTGAAAAGGAAGATGGTGTGGAGGTATGACCTTTCATTGACCTCACAGACAACCACAGCCCTCTGCCTGAAATACCTTTCCCTGATAATCCCAGGTAAGCACATGGGGACTCAGCTCAGGGGCCTATGCTCACTGGCTGCTCAGGGGATCTGCCAAAGAAGAACCCTGTTCAGTGAAAGCGACCTCTGTAAGCAGGGGTTAGCAGAGGATGCCATTGCCACTTTCCTGAAGATTGACGTCCTTCAAATGCAGCCCAGCTCTCTGAGATACACCTTTGCCCACTTGTGTCTCCAGGAGTTCTTTGCAGCAATGTCCTACATCTTGGAGAATAGGGAGAAAAGACATGGTGATATGGAAAATGACAGAATTTTGGAAACACTGGTAGAACAGTATGGAAAAGAAAACCTGTTTGAGGCACCCACTGTGCGCTTCCTATTTGGTCTTTTGAGTAAAGAGGGGTTGAAAGAAATGAAAAAGTTCTTTCACTGCAACATTTCTAGGAAGACAAAGTTGAAGCTGCTATGTCACGTCCTAGCAAAAAACCAACCATATCAACCACCATGTCTGGGTTTGCTCCACTGTCTGTATGAAAATCAGGAAGAGGAGCTCCTGACACAGGTGATGCATGATCTTCAAGGAACAATAGTGCCTGGCCCAAATGATACTGCACACACAGTGTCCCAGACAAATGTGAATCACCTGGTGATACAGACAGACATGGATCTCATGGTGGTCACTTTCTGCATTCAGTTCTGTTATCATGTGAGGAGTCTTCAGCTGAATATAGAAAGACAGCAAGGATATGCATCGAAAGCCCCAAGGATAATCCTGTGAGTATTCAGACACAGTCCTCTCTCCAGATTCCCTGTGGGTCTCATGAGCCCACATGTTCTGAACATTTCTCTATTCTCTTTGATGTGCTTGATCATGGGATGGGGCTATGAGCTTGTCTCTCCCTATGCCTCAGTGATGAACACCCAGCTTCTCTGATTCAAATTATCTTCACCCTTCATGGGGTTCCAATGCCACAGTTACTAATCCTCCCTCTTAACATGCTTTCTCTCTGAGAAACAGCTCATTCCTGTAGGAACCATCCCCTACCCTCATGAAAGTAACCTTGGCCCTGAGATCTTTCTCTATCATCTCAGAATGCGTATGTATGAGAGTCCCTATGGTTTCACTGCCCAGATAATATCCATATGTGTCAATGAAGGCAGCCCGGCAGTGGCACTAACCTGAAAGGCTCCCTAACTTTCTGCCAATCCCAGCAGCAAGGTTCTTCCAGGATTTGCTTCCCCTGTGCAGTAGTGGTTACTTAGTATCAGTATGTGTCTCACCTCCCTCTACATAATTCACCCCATAAATATTCATTAAGTACTTATTTTATTCAATGGCCTATCAATCAGTCACAAGAGGAGAAAAACAGTTGCTGTCCAAGGACCAGAGAAACTGGGAGAGAAGACAATCAAATATTCTAATTACATAGGGAGTGCCTCTTTCCATGACCAAGCATATACTGAGTATCAGGGAAGGGAACGTTTACTTAAGTGGAGAGATTCTTGGGGTAAGTAACTGTCTTAGTTAGGGTTTTACTGCTGTGAACAGACACCATGACCAAGGCAACTCCTATAAAGACAACATTTAATTGGGGCTGGCTTACAGCTTCAGAGGTTCAGTTCATTATCATCAAGGCAAGAGCACAGCAGCATCCAGGAAGGCATGGTGCAGGAGGAGCTGGGAGTTCAACATCGTCACCTGAAGGCTGCTGGTAGAATACTGACTTCCAGGAAGCTAGGATGAGGGTCTTAAGTCCATGCCCATAGTGACACACCTACTCCAACAAGGCCACACCTCCTAATAGTGCTACTCCCTGACCCAAGTGTATACAAACCATTACAGTAACATTTTTATTTAAATCTTCTGTTTTTATGTGTTGAAACTTTTTCTCCTAATAATCTGAGCTGGACTTGCTGGCATAATCCTGAAATCCTATCATTCAGGAGGCTAAAGGGGAAAAGTTCCTTCATTTCAACACTTTGACACCATTTTGACAGGAAATAAAAAGCTCATGTGAAAACCAAATGACTTGAAAGTAGTGTAGTGACTGTGAGAGAACAGGACAGGGTGAGGAGAAGGGGGAAGTAGGGTAAAGAGCACATGTGATTAAACAGTCTTACACACATGCAGGAAGGTGTCAATGATTATTTTATATTATTAGGATGGACTAATAAATGCTTGGAGAAAAGTGATGATATATCAATTATCGGAACAAAAAAGTTTCTCATAAAGTACAGCATTAAGAATTGGAGAAGCCTGGCTGTGCACACCTGTCATCGAAAACTCAGATTGCAGAGGCAAGAATGTAGGAGGAGCTAAGGTGGGAGGAGTAAGGAGAAGAAGAGGAAGAGTAGGAAGAGGAAGAGGAAGAGGAGAGGGAGAGATGTAGGAGCAATGGAGGCAGATATTCACGTGTTTGTAGCAGTCAAAGGTAGTTGGTATATTTAGGTTGGGTATTGGGTTACACTTCTGATTGTGTGGGCATCTTGTTATTAATCATTACCAAACATGTAAAGACTTCGATTAATCTATAAGAATTAGAGTCTCATTCTCTTACTGGGCCTGCATGGAATGGTCTGGGCAATGCCCTGCCTTGTGGAGACAGTGTGGAAGATTGGCAGAACCATCTCTCACACTGGCATCTCGTGGGTGGCAGTGCTGCTGTTTCTGGCTGGCCAGTTCTAGCTGCTGTGCGCATGTGGCCACTGGCTGAGAAACATGGTGGCTGAGACAGGCAGAGCAGCTGCAGCTTAGAAAGTCGGCTGACTTTCTAAGAGGCCCATTTTAATTAATTATTTCAACACAAGAAGGTCAAAGTTCCAGTCCAGCCTGGGCTACATAGTATAATGCTGTCTCAAAATATTAAGGTCTAAGGATGGAACTCATTGGTAGAAAGATTGCATTTATGTTGGATAATTTTCTGTTGTTCTGATAAAACACCATGGTACCTTATACAAGAGTTGATTTGGGCTCATGGTTCTAGAGGGATCAGGGTCCACCATGGCACAGGGAAAGCATGGTGACTGGTGACTGGAGCAGCACCTGAGAGCTTGTATCTTACACTACAAGTAGGAAACAGAAACAGTATACAGGGAATGGCTCAAGATTTTGAAATATTTTTATTTTTATTATTAATATTAATTAGTTATTTTCTTTATATCTGGATCATCATTGAGGCTTCCCCTCAATCCTCTCCTCCAACTCCCTCCCTCTCACCTTTTCTTCTCCCCCATTCACCCCTCCCACACTTCTTCTCATACAAGGGGAGGTGTCCCATGGATATCAACCAACCTTGGCATACCAAGTTGTAGTAGCTGCATCTTCTTCTATTGAGGCTGGACAAGGCAGGCCAGTTAGGGGAAAGGGATCCAAAGCAGACAATGGAGTTTAAGACAACCTGATCCTGCTTTTGGAGCCTCTCACAAAGACTCAACCGCACAAATGTTACATATGTGCAGAGGGTCCAGATCAGTCACATGCACTGCAACTCATTGGCAGTTCAGTCTCTGTGAGGCCCTATGGGCCCAGGTTAGTTGATTCTGTAGGGTTTGTAGTAGTAGCAGTAGTTTCTTGTGGTGTCTTTTGATGCTTTTGGCTCTATCAATTCTTCCTCTCCCTTTCCACAGGATTCCCCAACCTCCATTTAATATTTGGCTATATATCTCTGCATCAGTTTTCATCAGTTGCTTAGTGAAGCCTTCAGAGGACAGTTATGCTAGGCTTCTGTCTTCAAATATAGGAGAATAGTATTAACAGTATCAGGGGTGATACTCTAATGGCATAGGTCTGAAGTTGGGCCAGACATTGGTTGGCCTTCCCTCAAAATCTGCTCCATCTTTTACCCCTACCTTTCTTGTACACAGGACAAATTGTGGGTCTGAGGTTCTTTAGCTGTGTTTATGTCTCAATGTGTAACTAACACATTTGTCTTTCTGGATCTGTGTTATCTTACTCAAGATCTGTGTTATCTTTTTCTAGTTCCATCCATTTGCTTGCAAATTTCACGATGCTATTGTTTTTAATAGCTGAGTCCATAGTGTAAATGTACATTTTTTTTATCCATTCCTCGATTAAGGGACATCTAGGTTGTTTCCAGTTTCTGGCTATTATAAATAAAGCTGCTATGAACACAGTTGAAGAAGTGTCCTTGTGGTATGGTGGAACTACTTTTAAATGTATGTCCAGGAGTGATATAGTTGTGTCTAGAGGTAGATCTATTCCCAATTTTCTGAGAAACTGCCAAATTGATTTTCAAAATGAGTGTACAATGTTTCACCCCCACCAGCAATGGAAGAGTGTTCCCCTTGCTCCACATCCTCACCAGCATAAGCTGTTGCTTGAATTTTTTATCTTAACCATTCTTACAGGTGTAAGATGGAATCCCAGAGTTGTTTGATTTGCATTTCTTTGATGACTAAGGATGGTGAATATTTCTTTAAGTGCTTCATATCCTTTAGAGATTCCTCTGTCGAGAATCTTCTGTTTAGATATGTACCCCATTTTATTCATTAATTGATTGGTTGATTGATTGATTGATTGATTGATTTACATCCCAATTGCAGCTTCTCCCTCCTCTCTTCTCAGTTCTGAGAGACCAAATCTTTAAAATTCAGAGTCCATTTTAGAGAACCTGACCTAAGTTTAAATTCGGGTAAATTAACAGGCTGGTACCTAGCATTAGTTTCCAAGTTGCCCTCCAACAAAACATGTGCCTAGCTCCAGTCTCCAGATTACATCCCCAACAAGACCAGCATCTCCATGTTACACCCCGAACAATACCAGCATCTCCAGGTTACACTCCTAACAAGACCAGTATCTCCAGGTTATTCTCACAACAAATCTGCACCCCCAGGTTACAAGCCCACTCCCTGCCTAATGACCACCAATGCAGAGAACAACAGAAATCAAGTTTATGGTATGACTCCCAGCACCAGCCAATTATGTTAAAGGCCACAGTAGCTTTCCAATTGGATGCTTGCACAGTACTCCCTGCTTGTTGCTTACTATAAAGCCTTGCCCCATAGACATTTGGGGTTCCTCTCTCCACCAAAACCATCCTCCCTGTCAGCAGTAAGCTGAGGAGCCCTGTGCTCGCTTGAATAGAGTAAAGACCCTGCTGTGAGTTGCATCAGATTGGCTCCTATCTGTTTTCTGGGGAAATCGCTAAACTTCCCTGGCACCTCACCCTTCACCTCACCTCCCCACCCCTTGCCCTTTATGTTCAGGGAAGGGGAGACCTCCCGTGGTCATCAACCCACCTTGGCATTTCAAGTTGCAAGTGCACCTTCTCCTATTGAAGCTAGACAAGAAGCCTAGTTATTGGAAAGTGATCCAAAGGCAGACAGCAGTGTCAGAGACAGCACCAGCTCCTGCCATTAGGGATCTCACATGAAGACCAAGCTGCACATTTGTTACATATGTGTAGAGGATCCAGATCCATCCCTCTACATCTTCTCTGGTTAGTGGTTCAGACTCTGTGAGCCCATATTGGCCCAGGTTAGTTGATTCTGTACATTCCTTATAGTGTGTGTGACCTCTCCTGCTCCTGCAATCCATCACGCCCACAAGATTTCCCAAGATGCATCTAATGTTTGGCTGTGGGTCTCTGCATATATCTCCATCATCTACTGGATGAAGCATCTCCGATGTCAGTAAAGCTAGGCTACTGTCTGCAAGTAGAGCGGACTAACAGTACTAGTGTTGGGGTGGGCTCTCATGCGATTGTCCCTCATAGTTTCTTAGGGTTTTTTCTACATTTTGGATATTAGCCCTCTGTTAGATGTGGAGTTGGTGAAAATCTTCCTCATTCCAGAGACTGCCACCTGTCCTTTTGACAGTGTCCTCTGCCTTACAGAAGCTTTTCAGTTCATGAAGTCCTATTTATTTTTGATACTAGGGCCTGAGCTCTTGGTGTTCAATTCAGGAAGTTGTCTCTTGTATCAGTGTGTTCAAGCTACTTCCCGCTTTTTCTTCTATTGCATTTAGTGTATCAAATTTTACATTGAGGTTTTTTGGTTCACTTGGACCTGAGATATGTGTGCGTGGTGATAGATATGAACCTACTAACATTGAAAATGCTTTCTTTTTTCCCATTGTGTAGTTTTGGCTTCTTTGTCAAAAATTGAGATGCATAAGTGTCTGGACTTACTTCTCATTCCTTGATTCGATTCCAATTATCAACCTGTCTGTTTTCATGCCAGTACCATGTAGTATTTATTACTATTTCTCTGTAGTACAACTTGAAATCAGGGGTGGTGATACTGCAAAAAGGCTTGTTTGGTTTTTTTAACATTTCTACAGGATGTTTTAGCTATCCTGGGTTTTTTTGGTTTTCCCTATTAATTTTAATATTGTTCTTTGAAGGTCTATAAAGAATTGTGTTAGTATTATGATGAAAATTTCATTAATCTGTAGATTGCTTTTAGTAGTATGGCCATTTTTACAATCCTACCAATACATGAGCATGGGAGATCTCTGCATCTTCTGATGTCTTCTTTAATTTCTTTCTTCAAAAATTTAAAGTGCTTGTCATACAGTTCTTTCATTTGCTTGCTTAGAATTACTCAAGGATATATTATTTATGGCTATTATGATGAGTGTTGTTCCATAATTTCTTAGCACATTTGTTGTTTTATGTAGGAGACCTACTGATTTTTTTTTAGTTAATTTTGTATCCAGCCACTTGCTGAAGGTGGTTATCAGCTGTAGGAGTTCTCTGGTAGAACTTTTATGGTCACTTATGTTTACCATCATGTCATCTGCAAATAGCAATACTTTTTTTTCTTCCTTTCCCATTTGTATCCATTTGGTCCCCTTTAGCTGTTTTATCATTCTATCTAAAACGTCAAGTTCTATACTGAATAACTATGGAGAGAGTAGACAGCCTTGTCTTGTCCCTGATTTTGGTGGAATCGCTTTTTAAGTTTCTCTCCATTTGATTTAACATTGGCTATTGGCTTGCTGTTTATTGTGTTTAGGTATGTACTTTGTCTCCCTGATCTCTCCAAGACTTTTAATATGAAGCTGTGTTGAATTTTTTTCAAATGATTTTTCAGTATCTAATGAAATAACCATGGGTTTTTTTTGTTTGTTTCTGGGGTGGATAAATTTGGAGCAAAGGAACATATACAAGGCTAATGAATTCTGGGGATGGCATACCAGTGTGTGGGGCTCAGAAAGACAAAAACTCAATCTGCTATGTGGAACTGTGTACACACTATGCACACACAAGTCACACCCCTCTACTATCTCTCTCTCCCCTCAGGTACAGATGGACCCCAATCACTGATGCCAGTTGGAACATTTTCTTCTCCAATCTTAAATTCACCAGAAACCTGGAGGAGCTGGACCTAAGTGGAAATCCACTGAGCTACTCTGCAGTGCAAAGTCTCTGTATAACCCTTAGACACCGTAACTGCAAACTAAAGATCTTGTGGTGAGTCTGCATTGGGTTCTCCCCTGAAGCAGGTAGATGGGAGGAGACTAAAGGCAAAGGATGACTCTAGGGAGAGGCTTAGTATTTATCAATATTCACTAAACTCCCTTTACCACACCTATGACATATGGCAGACTTTTCAAGATAAACAAATGGGATTCTGTTCTTGGGGATTATGAGAGACTGCATTCATCAAGAAATCCTACTACCTAATGATAGCACTAGACTCATGAGGGCTTCGGTGGAGCACACTTCCTGAGGATATGGCTAGAGCAGAACTGAAGAATACAGAGACAAAGGGAAGCCTGAGGGGAGAAAGCTCCAGTTCTGAGGAATAGCTTCTCCCTCTTTCCTCCTGCCCTCTGCCCTTGTAATCAGACTTCTACAATTTGACTTAATGAATAATACCATGCCCTATTCTTTGTCTGGTAAATTTCATGTCTCATGACTCTTGAGATGTACCAGTGAGCCATCCTGGGCCTACGGATAGCTCTGCCATGTCCAGTGGTAGCAGAGCATTGGTGTGACCTATTGCTCCTGAAGCTCAGATGCAGAGAACATGGAATCATCTCCCTAGAGCAGAAAAGGCACAACAGAGAGATAACCACTGGCAGCTCAGCATGCCAAGGCTCACAAATGGAGACCTGCAATAAGTTCTCAAAAAGCAGATCCCTGGAGAAGCTGACGTGAGCATCTTCCATGCAGGCTCGTTGAATGTGGCCTCACATCCACACACTGCTCACTCCTGGCATCAGTGCTCAGTGTTCGCTCCAGCCTGACTGAGCTAGACCTGCGGCTGAATGACCTGGGTGATGATGGTGTGAGGCTGCTGTGTGAGGGGCTCAGGAATCCTGCCTGCAACCTCAGCATCCTGCGGTAAGCAAGCCCTGCAATTCCTTTCTGGTCATAAAGAGGGGAGGGGACATAGGTGAGTTCCCAGATGACAAAACATAGGAAAGAAAAGGGATAGATAATTCATAGTCAGCCTGGATCCTGACCAGATGTGCCACTTACAGCCTGTGATTGGGCAAGTCACAGAATTCTGGAAAACTCATTGTCCTCGTGGATTAAATGGAATGTGATACCCGTCTCATGGACATGTAATGTGTACAGCATAGTACGTATGAAATGGTATACAGTATACATTTGTAAAAACAAAGACAATACTTGGTAAGTAGCTAGGTATGGTGTAATCACATGTATTAGCATGTGTCTGAAGAAAGTGACAGTGTACTTATATAAACAGAATAAGTAATTTTTTAAAGATTTCCATGTTTATTTTATGTATGTAAGTACACTGTGCACTGTTGCTACCTTCAGACAGACCAGAAGAAGGCATTGGATCTCATTACAGATGGTTGTGAGCCACCATGTGGTTGCTGGAAATTGAACTCAGGACCTCTGGAAGAGCAGTCAGTGCTTCTAACCACTGAGACATCTCTCCAGCCTCCCATAGGCAGTTTCTTGAAGAACACTTCCCAGAGGTTGCTGGCCAGTGCCCTTCATGAGAGAACCACAGAGGCTCTGGAGCCCTGTACCCAGAGCCTGCTGGTTCTTCCAGCTGACAGGAAGAGTCAGGCAAGCCTGCTCCCTGGGGCGTCCCTCTGTCTGGTCTTCTGCTGCAACTCTGAAACCTTAGGAGCAGTTTTGCAGTGAGAATTCTTATTTCCTCCCCTCTGGCAGCTGAAACAGGCCCAGCTGCTTGGCATCTTTATTCCTTAGCAGGTTTTCAGCCATGAGTGTTCCTTACACACTGAAGAGCATGTCCAGGACTGAACTCTACTGCAGGTCGGCCTTAAAGACAGCTTAGTTACATGTGAACTCCTGTCTCCTTCCCTCCTGAAGACAGAACAATCTTGAACTCAAAGGCTCTGTAACCATCCACAAAAAGCAGCTTGGTGTCATTACACAGCCTCTCCGAGAGAAGTCTTTACCCTCCTGCCCTGTTTGTGCCTCCCAGCCGGGAGAGTGGGAGTGATGTATCCATGCTTAGGAACTGAGGACTCTGAAACCCAGAGAAGTCAGGCACTACTCTAACACCATCAGCAACCCTAGAACCTGAGGGTCATAAGAATGGACCAGAGGACCTTGGTAGTGCCTTCTATGTAAGGACAAAGTTTCCTTCCTTAACACTAAAGGGATGGAGGCAGGAAGTGAGAATGGAACCAAGGCTCTTTCCTTCTAGGTGAATGTCCATGAAACCTTGCATCCTGGCACTATGTGTTCACCTTGGATAGCTGCCCAGAATCCCTTTGGGGATGTGGACATGACTATCAGCCTTTAGGAATTCTGATAACTACAGATGTGCCCTTTGCCAACAAGAGTCCCCTAGCTATGGCCATGTTCCACTCCCTGGGACAATCTATTTCCAAAAACTGACCTGTGGAGATGAGGTAGAAAGGGCCAGCCCCACATTTCAGCTCTGAAATGTTTCAAAGGTCCACTTCTTGTATTCAGATCTCACTGGACACAGACCAAGTCCCACTGAGACTGCCTCATGGACACCTTCCTCTCAGCCTGCTGCTGCTCTCTCTGTCTCTCTCCTTGGTCTTGATTTTTGATCAATGATAAGACTGAATGAGCGTCCTTACTGACTCCTACCATAGACAACAGATTCCAAGATCCTGGACTCTGAGTTCTCAAGATCCTGCATTGGATCACAGAAGAAATAGCTCCCTCTTGTGCTTGCAGGCTGGACCAGGCCTCTCTCAGTGACCAAGTGATTACAGAGCTCAGGACCCTGGAGGCAAAGAATGCAAAGTTGCTCATCTCCAGCACATGGTAAGAGGGAGAGGGAGACAAAGGATTCCCTCTCCACAACCCTGCCCTATGTGGCTGGTTCAAAGCTGAGAAATGGGGAATGGGATCTGAAGTGGGAAAGACACAGAAAGCCTGGAAGAAACCAGGAAACCACAGTGACTGAAATAAGGAAGGGTTCTGTATGTACAGAGGTTGTATTTTTTTTTTTTAGCAAAAATAGGATTATACAACATGACTACTTAAGCTCTGCCTTCAAAAAACATATAAAGGGGTGAATTTGTGGAAAGTCCTCTGGGAACAGCAAGTGTGATGACATTAGCCATGAATAAAGCCAGACCACTGGAACAATGAAAGCAGAACCCACAGTGAAGAAAGAAGTAGAAAAACGCTTAGAGAACAAAACACACTCTGTGTATCACTGTTTCAACTCTAATACTCAAACAGACAAATACACAAAAGATAATGTGCATGCTCCAACACACACACACATGCACATGTACAAACACACAAACATGCACACACACACACACACACACACATGCTACTATAAAATATGAGGCTTCAGAGAAGGAAAAGTCTGTTTCCACCCCCAGGGACTGTGCTAAAACCTGATTTTGGGCATATTTCAGCTCATGATTGTGATTACCATCTGCTCTCAAGTTCATAGCTTCTGTGCTGCATGTGAAATGGAACGGATTTTAGACATAGGAGGGTTGAACAAACATTCCTGCAGAAACACTATGCATCAAACACTATTTGGGCATCTGAGGGCACATTCATGAACAAGGCAGACATGGCCCAACATTTATTACCTCAGTCCAGCAAAGAGGGAACCCACTGTCCATGTAATTATACCAGGGAGTCTGTGAGTGCAATGGTGGTCTGTCTGACCTCATCCAAAGCTGAGGTGAGCTGTGGTGACCTCTCAAACAAGAGAAATCTGGAAAGAGCCAAGTAGAAGAAAACACCAGGTATAGAGTATAAGGAAGCAGAGAGAGAAGTACCTTGGAGGGAGAGGAAATCACATGTGGAGACCTTCAGCTCTGCTTCACCATCACCTGAGAGATCCACAGAAATGCAGGTTCTCAGGCCCCAGTCCATCTCTGCTGACTCAGAATTTCAGGTAGGGCAGCTTCCTTCAATGAGATTTCTGATTTAGCAGGCTATCCAGGTGACATTTGAACATGGTAATTTAAAAGAGTCACTGGTCTAAACATCAATGAGCAGGAAAGGGTGGTATAGGAGTCCCTGGAGTAGACTGGGTCCAGAATAAGAAGATTGTCCCATGCCAAGAAAATTCTACTTCTGCCCAGAGGCAATGAGAGGCATTCCATGGCCTCAGTCATGAACTGGTATCTCCTCCCATATTTTATGGACAGCTATTATGCAGAAAATGTGCTGGAAAGGGCCACCTCAGAAGCAGGAATACCTGTCAGAGGATGTGGGTGGTGGCTCAGGACACTGCTCACTTCATCTTAGGACTGGGATGCAGGCTTTGTGAGATTAGAGTAAAGAACAGAAAGGGGGAGACAATACCATCATAGAAGGTATTGTCTAGATTATTAAGATTTAGAGTGAGTGACTATCAGTTTATTTTCTGTGGCTATAACCCAGTGTCTGACACTGGGTACCACATATCAAGAACAGGACTATTTCTTGCAGTTCTAGATGAAAGGAAGGGCAAGGGCATGGACTCTGCATCAAGAAGTCCTTCTTGCTCTTTCATTTGATTTCACAACAGGGAAACGTAGAAACCAAGAAGTCAAGCTGCCTTTTGTGGCAATCTGGCGAGGGCACAGGAATCTACCTCTGTGGTGATGGTATTGACCCCTTAATGAAGGCAGAGCCCTTCCAATCCCATTGTGCCTCACCCTTCAACATATGTACACTGTGGCATTGCATTTTGGATTAACATTCTAATGTGTGAACAATGGGAAACATTCATATAAAACAAAGGAGGGGTTGAGATTGTCCTGGTTCTGGCACCATGGATGCACAGGAGGATGGGGGCCTTCATACAGTTGTGGCTCAAAGAAGAAGCCTGGGACAGAGTAAAAAACCAGATGGGTTGGATTTTTTTGTGTGGAGATATTGTACACACAGCCCTGACTCTCCATGCTTTTTATCTGAGGGAAACAATATGTCTATGTGTAGGAAGCCGCATAGAATGGTCCCTACTATGAACATGGATAAAGAAGAAGTGGGTGATAGCCCAGCTTTATTGAAGCAGCAGAGACAACAGTCAGGTATGTAAAGGAATTAACCCAGAACCTGTAAGCATTGGATGCAAGGGCATCTTTAGGGGAAAGTCATCATTTCTCTCTCTTGTTTGAATTTTTTATTTCATACACATGTATTATATTACATTATTCCTGCCCCTCCATATAGACACTCTAACTCCTCCTGTGTCCCATCCTCAAACTCTCAAATTCCTGACCTCTTGTTTAATATTATTGTTGTTAAATATATGTGGATATACACTTATGTGTACATACATATATGTAAATAAAATGTGATGAGTCTATTTACTGTTGGTCATGTATACATGTTTGAGGGTGGCCACTTAGGACTGGAAAACCTATGTGGTAACCCTTGCCTGGGAAGACTGATGTTACCTCTCTCCTACCAGCTGTTAAGTCCCTGTAGCTCTTTATTTTGGCTTGGAGCACTAAGAGATTTCCCTCAGCCACATTAGCATGTCAACTACTGCTATCATTGGGACAATCTTGTTCAAGCAGTGATATTGGTGAGGTTTCATGGATGCAAATTCCCTGTCCCATACAAAAAGCATTATGTGTAATAAATGTCCTGGAAGTAGTGATCATTTCTATCCCCCTGTCTCTGGCATGGAACAGTACAAGATCATCACAAACAAGATCCACACCACTTGCAAGACCTTTCACGCCTAGAACCCAGAGGTGGGATTGCTTCCTTCTCTCTCAGCCTTGGAGGCTACTGCTGCCCCTCTCTCAAGTCTGTAGCTTGTATCAGGCTCTGTTCCATGGCTCCCTCTTTCATTCTGCTTTGCTATAGCCTAGGACTCATCTCCATGTCCCTTTACTCATCCATTTTTTTGAGTTCTGTTCTCAGCATACCCACTTGAGACAGGCTAGGAAGAAAGAAAACTCAAAGGCTGGCTTAAAAGGATGTATGTTGGATGGCTTCTCAAACAGCACAACGTAAAAAAAATAAAGCAAAATCACACATACACACACACACACACACACACACACACACGTATATATATATGCAGGCATCCCAAGAGCCAGTGATACAGACTAAAGCTGTACTTCCCGATAAGGACTAAGCTGGTCAATCTAGAAAAGGGTTCAGCCATGGTACATTACAGAGTGACCACTCCCAGGCCTCTTCTACAGGAGTAGGACTTATAACATGTACCATTAAAGACCTTTCATCCATACTCTCCTGTCTCTCCAGGAGAAAAACCCATGGAACCTCTGGGGACTGAGGATGATTTCTGGGGCCCTACAGGACCTGTGGCTACTGAGGTGGTTGATGGAGAGAGGAACATGTACCGGTGAGTGAGCTTTGCATAGCAGAGGCTTGCTTTTTACAGTCTACTTTCCGTAAGGGATCCCCACAGATACACCCCCACCCAGTCTCTATTGTACCTTCTCCCGTGCCAATACAGAAGAGTAGTCCAGGACTATAATAGAATTTGGGGCTGTTATTTTTCTTCCAAAAAATTTTCAAAGATTTATAAAACAGGAGAAAAGTATTTTTCCATCCAGTTCCTCAGATCCATCAACCACTTCCAATTTGTTTCAATTATGCTCACTCTTTCTTTGTCAACACTATCACAGTATTGTGACAGTACAACTGTCGCAGTAATATATGGCCATGACATCCTATGATTTCAACCACAATAATTGTACTAGGCATCCCTATGATTAAGATAGGACTTAGTCTTCCACAACTGTGCTGACCTGAGTATTTCATTTCACCTAAACAGCTTGTGCTAGTTTTGCTCATTATGTGAAATGTAGACTTTCTGGTGATTACTGTATTCCTGCTATAAACAGCACCCCCCTCCTATTTGTTTTTCCTGTCTCTTACCTTTCCATTACATCCCTGTATTCTCTGCATTCTTACATTACTAACAACCATTGTGTGCCAAGAACCCCTGAAGCTGAGAACATTATCGTGTATATGGCAGCCCTATCCTCTAAAAATTATAGTCTCACAAATAATGAATGACTAAATGCACAACAATGGTATCTTCCATAACCTGTTACCCTCCTCCAACACTGTCACAGTCACTATCTCAGCTAAAGAAACTGTCAGTCTTCATTTCCTACCACAGAAACTGGCACTTGTCTACCCAACATTCGCCAAACAGACAGCAATGGGAAAATAACTGAAGGTGTTGTTAAAGTGTTTGGGGGTCAACAATTTACCACTATTATCATCAGATAGACTCCCATTATTGGGAAGTATACATATACTTTAAGAATATAAACACTAACAAAATACTCAAGGGAGCAAATATGGAGACAAAGTGAGGGACAGAAACTGAAGGAGGGGCCGTCTCAAGACCACTCCACCTGAGTATCTATCCCATGTGCAATCACCAAAGGTAGATGCTGATGTGGAAGACAGGAAGTGCATGCTGATAAGAGCTTGATATGGATATCTCCTCAGAGGCCTTCAAGAGTCAGACATATTCAGAGGCAGATGCTCACAACTAGCCATTGAACTGATCATGGGGTTCTCAATAGAGGAGTTAGAGTGAAGACTGAAGGAGCTGAAAGGATTTGTGGCACCATGAGGAGAGCAACAATACCAACCAACCACACCTCCCAGGGTCTAAACCACCAGCCTGGGAGCACTTAGTGGGGGATCCAGGGCTTCAGCTGAATATGTAAAAGTGGAGGGCCCTGCTGGGCATAGGTGGAAGAAGAGAACCTTGACCTCATGAAGGCTGGATGCCCCAGGGGGTGGGAATTTCGAGGGTGGGGAGGTGGGAGTGGGGGGGTAGATAGAGGTTACATCCACAGAGAAGAAGGAGGAGGGGCGAGGGGATTGGGGGTTCCGAGGGGGTGGTGGGGGATGGGGTAAGGGGACAACATAGGAAATGTAAATAAATCATCCAATAAAAAAAAAATAAAAAAAATTAAATTAAATTAAAAAATAAATAAATAAATAAATCGGTGATGATAGATAGATCAATGATGATGATGATGAAGATAAATTGATAGATAGTAGAAAGATGATACATAGATAAATGATAGATAGATAGATAGATAGATAGATAGATAGATGATAGACAATGAGGATAAACAATGATGATAGATGATAAATAGGTAAATAGATAATAGAAATTGATGATTGATAGGTAGATAATAGACAAATAGATAATAGATAATGATGAGATGATAATAGATAAAGATAGATAGATAGATAGATAGATAGATAGATAGATAGATGATAGGTGGATGGTGATTAAAAAAAAAAAAGAATATAAACACTAAAAACTGAAGATGTACCTGATTGTTTGAGCCATTGTCAAGTGAACATAATGTCTTAGGTTTATCTCCCAAACTTCACACACATGGACATCAACAGGGACACACACACACACACACACACACACACAAACCTATTTCATCACCTTCATCACCATCGCAGGAAGAGCTGACTGCTCCCTACATGTTTTAAAAGGAAGTTTGCACTAGATCACTCAATATTCACAGTTCTCTAAGATGATGTCATCATTAACCTCATGTACAGTTGAGGAAACAGACTGGGAGATTAAATGACTATTCAAGGATCCACATAGACAGCAGAGGAATAAAACTCAGAGACAGCTGCCTGAAGTCTGCTGTGTCCTGAGCTCTGCACTGGGTCTGCAAACAACAGATGAGTAGTACTGGTTTGAAGTGGTCTCTGCTTCTCCTCTTTCAGAGTTCAATTGCCCATGGCTGGTTCCTATCACTGCCCCAGCACAGGACTCCACTTTGTGGTGACAAAGGCAGTGACAATCGAGATTGAATTCTGTGCCTGGAGCCAATACCTGGACAAGACTTCCTTGCAACACAGTTACATGGTTGTTGGACCTCTATTTGACATCAAGGCTGAGAAAGGAGCTGTGACTGCAGTGTACCTCCCTCATTTTGTGGCTCTCCAAGGTAACCAAGGGAAGATTAAGGAGGAAGGTTTTAATAATGAGTGGGCTTGACTGGCCATATAGGAACTAAATATGGTGGGTGATAAAGAAGTGTTTCAAAGTTTCCTTAATGAGGCATAGCAGTTTACAGAGGTGGACAATGATATGTTTTGTCATCCCTTCTTGTCTGATGTATCTTCTTTAAAGCACAGGACTCCCAGCCTTATAACTTTACTTCTATTTTACCAAAAGGAATCCCTAATTATACAGTGACGTCCTCAGTAGCAATATTAACTGGTGATTATCAATTACTCTTTAAAAATATGTCTCTCAAAGTATACTGTTTCTGCTCAGATGTAAGGGTATCCTGGGATTAGAAACACAGGAACTATACAGTTCTGACGGGAGAAGGTATTCCAAGGGAAGATCATCCTTGACATGGGAGCTCAGGAACCACACAGTTCTGAGAGGAAGCCTCCTCAGCAGAGGCATTGCAGCTCCAGGGGTGGGTCTCCCCAGCTGAGCTGAGGAGCTCGAGAGCCTCAGCCCTGCTCCTTCTCTTTACTTCTTCTCTTCTCTTCATTGCTTCTTGTCTTCTTGGAGTCTTCCAATCAGAGAGTGACACAAGGCAGAAAATCCCACGAAAGACATTTACTGGAGGGTCCAAGTTCTGGAGGGACAGATCCAGGAATGGCTGCCATCTGCTCCCAGGAGTGCACAGCAAGGAATTGGACTATGGACAAGGCTTCTATAGGATTTCTGAGGGGTGGAGCTTTTAGGGCAGAGGTTTCAAGATTCAGGGTTGACCGTATTTCAAGTCCTGAGCTTGGGGAGTTCAAGGATATATGGGTATTTCTTTTCAGGTATTGGTGGAGTTTAATGCTCAGAGATTGGTGGGGGTTTCTAGGAAGGAATCTCAGAGATTGGTGTGTTTTCCTGCTCAGGAATTTGTGACTTTTTTTTTT